TATTTAACTTATAAGTTATAATAAATAGCTTAAAAAAAAAAAGAAAAATCCTTTTATATTAAACTTCCTAACTTTAATTAAAAAAGGTTTAATAATAAAAATATTATTATAAAAAAATATTAAAGAATAAAAGAATTATAATATTTTATTTTAATTTTAACTTAACTTAAAGGCTAATTAAAGTTAAAAGAATATTAAAAAAAAAGGAAAAAAAAGAAACTTAAAAGAGAAAAGGAAATTTATATATATAAAGTTGCTATAATAAGAAGAGGCAAGTAATGCTAATAATAAGCTACCTTATTATTAAAAAAAGTAATTTATTATTTTGCTTTTAATTAAGATTAATTTATTATTAAAAAGGAATTACTTATCTTTAATTCTTTATTTATAAAAAAGTTATTTATTTTTTTATTATAAAGAAATTTTAATTAAATAACTTATTTTAATTTATGCTTAATAAACTTATAAATTAAAAAGGGAGTACTTTATAATTAACTATTATAAGAAAAATAAAAAATTATATATTTTTTTATTTTAATTATTAATAAAATAATAAATTAATAGCTTTTAATAATAACTTATAAGCCTTCTTATTATTCTTTTTTTTTAATTAATATAATTATTTAATTTAAGGGTAATAAGTTATTAGCTTTTATTATTTTAACTTATATATATTATTATATTTATTTATTTATAATTAAGCCTTTTTCCTTTTTCTTTTTTTCTTTTTCTTTTTATTTTTATATTATTATTAATTAAAAGTTAAAGGTTAATTATTACTTAATTATTTTAATAATAATATATTTTTAATATATTAATCTTTTTTTTTATTTAATTTTTATTTAAAAATAAATAATAATTACTTATAAAAGCTACTTTAAGTTATAATTAAATATTAATTATATTTTTTTCTTATTTTTAACTCTTTTTATTTTAATTACTTATATAATAATTTCTAAGGATATAAGGCTCTTTTTATTATTATATTTCCTTTTTTTATTACTTAACTTTTATTATTTACTCTTTACTTTATTATTTATTTTCTTTATTTTCTTTTTTTATAATTAAAAGCTAAGATATTTTTTAATTAAAAAGATAAAGTAAAAAAGCAATTTTAATTATTTTTATATTATAAAATACCTTAAAATTTTAATGCTTTAATTTTAATAATTAAGCTTATTAATTTAAGAAAGAATAATTTAATGCTAATAATTATAAAACTTTTTTATTTTAATAACTTTAAAAATTTATTTAATAAAGCATTATAATTTTTAAATATTATAAATATTTAAAATTAATAAAACTTTGCTTAAAAAGTAAATATTAACTTTTTTAAAAATCCTTTTAAAATAAAAATTATTATAAATAAAGTTTATTTAAATAATATTTAATAATTTTAAATCCTTAATTAATTATTATTCTTTAATATAAAATAAATAATATTTAATAATAAGCTTATAAAAATAATATAAAAATATTTCTTAAGTATTAATTTTTATCTTAAGTTAAGAAAATTAATTAAATTAATAAATTTAATAAAATAATATTAAGCCTTTCTTACTTTTAATTTCTTTAATATAAAAGAAATGCTTTATAAATATAAAAAATTAAGAATTTAATATATTATAATTTTTATAATTTAATAACTTTTTAACTTTTAAAATATTATATTTTTACTTAAAAAATTTTTATATTATAATTATATCTTATTTAAGAAATATTAATAATATAAATTAATAAAAAATTATAAATTTATTATTATACTTATTTATATATTTAATTATTAAATAATAATAATTTTTAATAAAATAAAGAATTATTACTTATTATAAAATAATCTTATATTAAGAAATAAAAAAAATAAGATAAATAAAGATATTAAAGCGCTTATTTATAAATATTTAATAACTACTTTAAAAAATAAAATATAAGATTTTAATAAAAAGTTTATATTAAAATTAAAATAAATTAATAAAATATTTTATAAATAATATATTGCTAAGTTTATTAAAAATTACTTTAAGGAAAATTAAGAAAAGAATAATTAAAAAATATAAAACTAAGCTAAAACTTCTTTAATTAAAATTATATATTATAAAATGCTTAAAGCTATTATTAGCATTATTACTTAAATATTTATTATTTAATTAAAGCTTAATAAAATTAATAAAGTTATTTAAATGCTTATATTAATTCTTTTTATTAAAATTAATAATATAAAAGTAATTAAAGTAAAAAGTAAACTTTTATTATAAAGAAATATTATTTAATAATAATTATTTAAATTATAATATATTAAGATTATTATTAATTATAAAAAAAATATAAAGAAAATAATACCTTTAATATAAATTAATTTAATAACTTAATTTTAAATATTTAATATATAATAAGGCATAAACTTTTAAATAACTTAAAATTAATTAAGCATAACTTTAATTAAATAAGCCTTTAACTTAAATATTATGCTATAAAATATTTTAAAGTTAATAAAAAATATTTACTTTAATATATATAAAAATCTTTTTTATTTACTTATTTTAATAATAAATATAAATAAAACTTAAAGTATATTAATTAATTTAAAATAATTAAAATAATAATAAAGTTTATTTAAAAATAATTTAAAAGGCTTATAAATAAGTTAATTAAATAATTAAATATAAAATATAAATATTAAAAATAAAAATATTATAAAAAGTAAAAGTAAAAATAAAAGCTTTATAAAAAGTAAAAGTAAAAATTAATAAAGCTAATATATTATACTTAATATAATAATTAAAAAAAAATAAATTTATTTTCCATTTTATAAAGATATTTAAATTTTTAATAATTATATTAATATTAATTATTAAAGTAAATTTTAATAATTAAAAAATATAATTAATAAATATATTATTAAGTAAATCTTAAAAATATTTAAAGCTTTTATAAAAAAATAAAAGTTATAATAAAATAAATAAATAAGGAATTAAAAATAATAATAATAATTAAAATTATAATAAAATAAATTTTAAAATTTAAAGGCTTAATTAAAAATAATAAAATCTTATTTTAGCAATCTTTATAATATTTATTATAAAATGCTTAAAAAGAAATATATTAATAAATATAAGGAATTATATAAAAAATAATATTATATTAAATTTTAACTAATTATAAAAAGTTAGCTTTTATGCTTATTTTAAATATTCTTTTAAAAAATTAACTTTTTTCTTTTCTTATATATTTAATACTTTAATTAAGCTTTTCTTATTTTTAAGAATTTTTAAAATATTTATCTTTTCTTTTTTTTTAATTCCCTTTTATTCCTATCTTCCCTTTTTATCACGTTAAAGCTCTTTCTTAAGTTATCCTTAATAGGGTTTAGCAAAACCTATCCCCCATTATTTAGGTGGCTTGTTTTCAATACTCACACTTAACTTACTAAAGCAATAGCTATAAGGCACTTAACTTATTATAGCCCCCTAAAGAACAAGATATTTATATTAACTAAGCAATTTAATTAACTAAGCAACGATTTAAAGGAAAACATAATTTTAAAGCATATATATACATATATATAAAAAACTGCCAATATGGAAATAATATGTATAGGCATTATATATAGCGTGCCTATGCAATAGGTGCGCTGCAAGTAATGCATAAATTTAAAAATGCAAGGTTTAAACTAATTTTATTAATAGTAGCTGCCAGCTAATACTAGCTGGCTGTTAGCTAGCAGTTATATGCTCCGCGCATAAACCACCATAGCTAGCCTATAGCTAAATAAGAAAAGGCTATAGCTTTGCTACAACCTACCCTTTATACTATAGCTAAATTAATTACACACTTTATTTATTTATTACCAACCATACAAAAGCCAAACCAACAAATAAGATAATATAACTTTTTATTAATAATAATAAAGAAAAGATTTTTCTTTTATTATTATAAGGTATAAAGGAAGTATTTATAAAGTTAAATATATATTTAAGGTAAAAAGTAATAAGATTTTAATTAATATTTAAGCATAAGGTATTTAAAAGTTATTATATTCTTAAAAATTATTAAATTTAATATAAATTATTATAATTTAATATAATAAAAAGCTTTATTAAGTAATTCTTTATATTTAAGGTTTTTTTTTAATAATTAAAACTTATTTTTAAGATTTTTAAGTAATTATAAAAAGTATGTTAATTAATTATTTATTAATATTATAATAAATATTTAAGCTTTATATTATAAATATTTTTTAAAAAGCTTTTTAAAATATATAATAAGAAAAAAACTTAATTAATTATAACTTTATAAAAAAATTAATAACTAAAAGCTTAAATTAAAATTAACTAAAAAATTATAAAAAAAGAATTTAAATTAACTTAAATATAATTTTTATTAATATTAAAGCTATTTATAAGGCTTAAATAAAAATAGGGAAGATATTAAAAGAAAGCAATACCTTTAGAAAATTAAAAACATTAATAGAAAAGGGATTATGTATTATAATGGCGGGCAATTAACGTTAAAGAGAAGACGTGTGTGGGTGCCGAGGGCGGCCGGGGGCCGGGGACGTTAGTAAAAGATTCCACGCTGCCACCGTGCCTATACCGCCAGATCCAAATTTGGAGTTTGGGGAACAAGACCCCATACCCTGGAAACTCGTGCTAATGTGTTGTACCCTTTGGACTGGATGAACTACCGAACTGCGGGGAACCAACCCCAGTCCCAGCTGTCACTGTCTATTCCCAGAACAGGAAGATGTAAATGCGCGAGCGTCGCAGCCCGCGGTTTTGCACGGCATAGTCGCTACATGGACAAGGGCTCAGCTTGCGGGGGGCCTGCACACAACCGCAGCCAAGATGACCCCGATGTTTGGATTGGGGCAGATCGCCGCAATGATCACGGAAGTCAAAAATGTGAGCGGGCATATATAATGGACCCTTGAAGCCCAGAATGTAAGCTTACGTGCGTTCTCGTGCCTTTGACCATACTACCTCTTGCCGATACGCGTAGCCATGCCTTCAGACGCCAACTTGCCAGAGACGTCCTTGTGGGCGAACAGAGTAGGTTCCAGTCTACCTTGCAGCGGGGGCTGGCCGTGGTTGACTGGATTCGTTAGAAATGTCTCTTGATATGTGCCACCGTGGCCATTGCGAATATGCAGTATGGGCTAGATTCTGCGGTGATAGGAAGCCTGCAGGCTATGCCTGGCTTTTTGGTTGTGTTCGGATATCCAGATCCTGAAGCACCTGGTGGTTATTCCATTGGCGTAAGTGCTGCTCTGCGGCTTCCTCATGACCAACGGAATCCCGACAGCATTACTGCGAGGAGACTAACCCGTTAACATACCAGGGCACCTTTCAACAACTGATCAGCTCCCTACTGACGCTCGGCGCGTTCCTCAGCTCCCTCACCGCAGGCAGCTTCGCCCACTACTTCGGGCGCAAGACGGCCCTCTGGCTCGCCTGCCTGCTGACGGCCGTCGGCTGCGCCATCCAGATCAACACCACCGACAAGGCCGTCGTCTACGTCGGGCGGCTCATCCTCGGCATCGGCAACGGCTTCCTGGTCACCTTCTCCAACATATACACGGCTGAGGCCAGCCCGGCGCACCTGCGGGCGGTCATGGTGGCGCTGTTCTCGGAGTGGGTCAACATCGGGAGCATCGTCGGCGCGGTGGTCACCAACGCGACGCAGTCGCGCCTCGACAAGGCGAGCTACCAGATCCCCATCGGGATCCTGTTCGTCGTCCCCGTCGTGCTGGCCGCGGGGCTCTTGTTCGTGCCCGAGTCCCCGCGCTACCTGGTCAACAGGGGCAAGATGGACAAGGCAAGGCGCGCGCTCGAGTCGCTCAGGGGCGGGTCGCTGCGGCCCGAGGAGCTCGAGCTCGAGTGGGTCGAGATGGTCAAGGGCATCGAGGAGGAGAAGAAGCTCGCGAGCACCATAGGGCCCCTGGACCAGTACCGCGGCACAGACCTCCGCCGCACCCTGTTGTGCTACGGGGTCATCATGAGCCAGGTCGGGAGTGGCTCGTGGTTCGTCATCAGCTACAGTACCTACTTCCTCATCGTCGCCGGTCTTACTGTCCAGGAGGCCTTCAAGTATTCCATCCTGAACACCTGCCTTGGTCTGGTCGGTGTCAACTTCGGGATTTACCTCATGCGCCATGTGGTAGGACGTCGGACCATCCTCACCATGGGTGCCGCAATACAAGGATTGTGCATGCTTGGGATGGCAATTGGGGCAGGCAGCGTCAACCCAGTGGGCAGTGAGGCGGGCAGAAATTGCCTGATCGCTTTCTCTGCTCTGTACCTGTTCTCCTACAACGCTTTTGTTGGGGACGCGAGCTATCCGGTGAGTACGGAATTGGTCAGCACGAGACTAAGAAGTTGGTCGGTGGGTTCGGCCATTAGTCTTGGATACTTCTTCGCGTGGTTGACAGGGTTCTGCTCACCTTACTTCATCAACCCGGAGAACCTGAACTGGGTAAGCATTCATCCTCTACACTGTCGTTTTTTCATAACGCGGCTAATCCTGCAACCAGGGCGCCAAGTATGGTTACCTATGGGCCGGATCGAACTTTGCTTGCATGATCTTCTTCTTCCTTTTCATGCCCGAGTTGAAAGGGCGAACGCTTGAAGAGATTGATGAACTATTTGCGGAAAAGGTGCCGGCGTGGAAGTTCAAGAGCTACAAGACAACGATTCAGGAGAAGGCGATGGCTGAGGTCAGGATGCAGGAGGGCTCAGAAGCCAAAGGTCCGGTATCTGAGGTCGTCGAGGACGAGAAGATGGGCCCCGGCAGCTGAGTTCTCTGCTCATCGTCAATAGACAGGAGCATCAGCACGAGGGGTCCAGCTGAATGTGTCTATAGGCAGATGCTTAGATGGTCACCACGATGCGCACTGTGTGCTCAACCCTATCTTCAATATCACTGGGGTTCATAGCATTCCGATTGACCTAACTAGAAGCTCGGATAACTATCTTGAAATAGAGAGAGAGAGAGAGAGAGAGAGAGAGAGTACAGTCCTCGGCTATTCAATCCGTGAACAACTTTACAACGGCTTCGTCGTAACATACAACGAGTTGGAGAAGGCCTCGGGATATCTTCCACCCTTGACCTCGGCGTTCTCTATAGCCGCCCGGATCTTCTGCTCCTCCTCCTTCGAGATCTTAACCTTCAACGCGCCGATGTTGTCGTCAAAGTTCGGGATCCGTGTCGTTCCGGGGATGGGGATGATGTCGTCCCCCTGCGCCATCAGCCAAGCCAGCACGAGCTGCGATGGCGTGCAACCCTTGCTGTCGGCAACTGCCTTGATGCTGTCGACGAGCTCGAGGTTCTTGTGGAAGTTGTCCTTGGAGAAACGCGGGGCGAACGAGCGGAAATCTCCCTCCTCAAAATCATCCGGAGAGCGGATGCTGCCCGTAAGGAAACCTCGGCCGAGCGGTGAGTACGCAACCGTGGCGACGCCCAGCTCACGGCATGCGCGGAGCAGGTCGATCTCGGGGGACTCGATCTCGAGCGAGAAGGGCGAGTACTCAACCTGCACCGCGTCGATGTGCGCGACCTTGCAGGCGCGGCGCAGGCTCTCGGCGCTGCACTCGCTCAGGCCGAGGTAGCGCACCTTGCCGGCGTCCTGCAGCTTCTTCATCGCGGCCACCGTCGTCTCGATGGGCTGGTTGGCGTCCAGGCGGTGGCAGTAGTACAGGTCGACGTACGGCAGGCCGAGGCGCTTGAGCGACTTGTCGATGGCCTGCTGGATGTACTCTGGCTCGTTGCGCACGCTGCGCTCGCCCGTCTTGGGGTCGACGTAGTTGGCGAACTTGGTGGCCAAAAAGATGTTCTCGCGCTTGCCTGGGTTGCGCTTGAACCAGCGCCCCAGGAGGTCCTCGCTGTCCTGGTACATGTCGGCCGTGTCCCAGTTCAGGCAGCCTGATTCGTAGACGTGGTCCAGCACCGCATAGCGCTCCTCATCCGGCTTGGGCTTGCCGTAGAAGGCTGATAGGCCCATTGTACCATACCCGAGGGCGGTGACTTCAGGGCCATTCTTGCCCAGCTTGCGGGTTGGGAGTTTGGGGGCCATTGTGCAATCTGAGGAATTTGAATATCTGGTGGTGAAGTTCGCAATGTTGAAGTGTGCTAAGTATTGATGGACAGCTTACGTGAGTTGACGAGGTAGGGGCAGAGGTGATTGTTTTCACTTTGGAACACAGATGCGCTTCACCATCCACGGCTTATATAGATCACATCTTGATTTCGCCACCATTTACTATCAGACAGGCTAGTGGTTGATCTACCGATGTGGAGCTGGAATGGCCGGGTGCGGTTGTGCCATGTTTGTGGAGCTTGCTGCAACAGCTCGACCATGCCGGAGTTAAGGGCGTAAAAGCCTAAACCGTGTCCAGTGCTCCATGGAGATCGAAGCGCGGATCGGCGCCGAAAACACCATTACAAATTCGGACGGAGATAAGACACCAGCCTGCGCCTGCATTTCAATCCACCCCTGAACAAACGACGCTCTTCGCCGGACCAGCGGTATGATCTGTCGCATTTCATTCCCGTCGGTGTAACCCGCGATGGCTTCAACATTGAATCTGACTGAAGTCGTCTGTTGGCCTAAGGAATACTCATCGACCTGTTCATCAGGCACCCCGGAGATTGCTATGTAGGCCAACCTTAGTAGCTGGTCATTGTGGAGGCTCGCGTTCTGCGCTGCGAGTATAAGCATAGAAATCCTTAGACTCTTAATTATGACTGACTTCTCTATTAGATTTTGCTGTTGCAATGGGGACTCATTTTTTGGACTTTCTATCCCTTAGCCTAATGACTCACTTCCAATGCGCGGGAGTGCATCACAAGCTGGACCCCAAGTACTAACTATGACTCTTCGGGGCTTTTCCCTCACTCAAAAAAGCATCATGATGTGATAAATCCGCAAACGAAAGTAGACAGGTGTTTTCAATCGTACGAAAATACATCGTTCAGCAAAATATCGTGTATTCATCGCACAATGCCCCCGTCCGCCACCACCATCCTCCGCCGCGCCACGAGGGCGGACCTCCCCCGGATGGCCCGCGTCCTCGTAGACGCATTCGCCCCGGGGCCCTGGGGCAGGACTCTCTTCCCACCACACCTGAAAGTCAAGCCCGGCGACGGCGACGAGCTCGACTGGCGCCTGTACATGATATCCTCCGGCTTCGACAGCCCGGGGCGGGAGACCGTCGTGGCCTGCGAGGTGGAGGCGCAGAGGGAGGAGGAGATCGTCGGCTGGGCGCAGTGGATCGACCTGGCCGCCAGCCGGGAGGGTGGCGGGCCGAGCCCCGAGGAGATGAAGGCGAAGATGGAGAGGGACCTGGGCGCCAATCCGGCTGGGCTGGACGGCGAGGCTTTTGACAGGCTGCGCAGTGGTGGCCAGCAGCTCGAGAAGAGTTTTGAGGAGGTCCTCGGGACTGAGCGGTCCAGGGCGTCGTGGCGTGAGTCCCAAGTTGAGGCTTTCCCCCCTTTTTGAAAAAATATGACCAGAACACACATTGTCTTGGGAAGACATCGGCTGATTTGCTCAACACGAACAGATCTGAACTACCTGGTCGTCCACCCCAAACACCACCGGCAAGGCATCGGCCGGCTTCTAGCCAAGGAGGGCCTTGACCGAGCGGCCAGCCAAGGAAGAGACGTGTGCCTGCGGTCCACGCCCCAGGGCCGCCCATTGTACCTGGCTTTGGGCTTCGAGCAGATCCGCGAGCAGGAAGTCTTTGCGGAGAGCCAGTATGCCATGGTATGGAAAGCCTCCGACGACGCGCCAACTCCTTGATCCGGACGTTGCTGGTTTTCCTGATTCTGGATCACGGATAGAATATCAAAATCGTGCATTTGTTGTTTCAGAAAGTCCCACGATGTACTAGATTGGGGCTTGCACTGTTGTTTGGTCCCTTGGTATTTACCACATTTCTGCTAGCTTTTCTAGCTGGCGAGCACATGGCTTGCCTATTTCTGCAGGGTATCCATGGGCCATCGCGTCTTACGCAGTGATAAGCTATAGCCCCCATTTTTGCCCTAAACTACGGAGTTTACGATGCTTATCAGCTAAATTTATGAACAATCTCTGTGCATTCATCATTTGTACTGTGTTTCCTGACTGGTTCTGTCGTAAAGCCCGCCAAAGATATCCGATTCACCCTTTCATTCAAGATTTAGAATCATCAACCTTGACCTTCTTCTCCTTCTTCCTGGGATGCAACCAGTCCTCACACCCAATGGGCCAGTATACTCTTCCCAGCGGTCCACCCATTCCAAACTCCTCGGGGCTGACTGTCAAGCCAGGACCAGGAGCAGGAACAAATGCTTCAGGCGCTTCCGCATCGCCTTTGCCGGGATCTTCAGCATCCTCAGGAGGATCTTCACCGGCCTTGCGCTTCTTTTTCCGGTGTGCAGACTTCTTGGTGCTCTTCACCTTCTGCGGCGGCCTGTCCTGGTCGCCGCGCTCATGGGCCACCACGTCCGAGATCTTGTCGAAGCCGGGCAGCTTGAACCTGCGCATCAGCTCAAACACGGCCTGCTCCTTGTCCTTGGCCTCTATCATGAGGTCCGTGTCCGGAGGGCACGGTGGCAATGTGGCCACGCGAGGGCTGTGCTTCCTCCGATCACGCGCCGTGATGGCGCCATAACAGGGCTCTGAGTAATGCATCTTCTGATTGATGCCCTTCCTCGTCCAAGTCCTGGTTATGCGCTCCATAATCTCGGGTTGCGAGATATCGAAGGTGCCTTCTCGGACCTTGTCATCGTCGAATATTATGTTGTGATGGTGGTAGTCTAGGACCATGGGAATGTTCAATTCCTCGCAGATAGGCAGCAAGTCGTGAACTGACCACGACACGTCGTCATTCTCGAGAACAAGACGACGCTTGATAGAGTCTGACAGGAGCACGTAGTTTTGACGGAAGCGATCGAGAGTCGCTGGCTTGCCACCTGCCTCAGCGAACGTCCCTCCCATGTGGAGAATCATGATAGCATCCCGGTCCTGTTGAGGGGGCAATTTCAGGAGAGACAACAACTCGTCGTGGTATTCAAGATCCCGGATAGCGTTGCTGACAACTTGCTTTCGAGGCGACCCAAGCTGGGTGAACTGTTACGTATCAGCCAAGAATGATATAAGAAAAGAAATATTCGGTGATGTTGGTTCTCACCTGTCCAGGATGGGTTGTCAGACGGTGTCCCAGCTCTCCAGCGACCCTCCCAGCCTCGGCGAGAGCCTCAGATGCGAATGGGGCGAGCTTGTAGCCGTACTCTGCATGACTTGCAAAAGGGAACATCTCAGAGCTCAACCTCATGAACTTGATGCCGAATTTGTCGTTCCACCGAAGCATTTTGACGATGTCTCTTGCGTTAGCCAGGCCCAGACTCTCCACATACTTTTGGCCTAGCACGAGGTCGGCTTTCTTGGTCTTGTCTGGCCTGTTCTTGGTAGGATGCTCCGGTTGCGACGGGTCTGCAAGCGGATGCCGGTGTTCTAGGATAGATGCTATGCGGCATGTCCTTGAACTGAAGACCGGCGGCTTGGCGGTGCGTAGATAGGTATTCAGGCAAGCCTAGGTCGGACATCAGTACTTCGGCACTGTTATCGCCTCCTGAGATGGGAAAACTAACATAACCTAATCTTCCTTTCCATGGAAGTGGAAGGTAGTCACTGTTAACCGCTGGTGGGCGATTGGCTCCTTTGATGGTCTCGATAAGCTCATCGCCAGCCTCGCTTTCCGCGTCCTTCGTGGTCTCGCAAGCATGGCCTTTCTCTTCCCCCGGGGTGAGCAAGACGCGGTCTAGGTGGACTACATCACTATCCTGCGATGCAGCCGCCCTTCGCAGCTTCAAGGCAGGTGCCGATCTACCAGAATCGGCCCCTTTGACGATGCTCTGCTCGATCTGCAGCCTCCGTCTCTTGATGTCGTTTTTGAAGGCCGCCTCCATTTCCTCTAGGCGTCGTAGGGCGGAAGCGGAACCTTCATCGACACTCTCTAGTCGTTTCGCGACATCCTCCGCTGGCCTCGTGCGCGTCGATGATACATCAACATCCATTTCGTCGACGCGGCCTCGCTTCTTAGCGTTGCCAGCCCGATTCTCCTTGGTTAAGGGGGACTCCCGAGAGGAGGGCATCCGGCGGGACGACCTCCTTGGACCATTTGACGTGGCTTCAGGCGGATTTGGATCGTCAGTTACGTGGGTTGGCTGGTTGTCCTGAGCTTCCACTTGTGCGGATTCCCTCTTTTCTATTCCGCGGCGGCATTGTGGGGCTGGCGGTGGCGATATGACGTTTCGTGAGATGTTTTGAGGGGCTTACGTTGTCCTTGCTTGTCGGCAGGACTGTCTCGGAGAAAATCGTCCTGCATAAGTGAAAGTGGTTGCAGGATGATGTACGCAGCGGCCGGGAACTAGGATGAATGAGAGCGCGAATTTCAACGGCTCTTGGAAGAGTATGGGACCATAGGAACATGCAATAAGCTGCAGGTCAGGCCCAAGGTGGTAAGGTGGTGTGTGGGCAGAAAAGAAGAGACCGCAGGGTGGGTAGTACGGATAGAATATTTGTGCAGAACTTGGAGGGCCACGAACAAACAGAGAGTGTCTAGAGCCGTCGTGCGGCTGCGGAAGAAGCCGCTGGGCTCTAAGTGTCGAGTATACACGGCTGGGAAATCCGTGGGGCTGGATGTGCTGGTGGTTGTCGAAGGAGTATTGTGTTTTGACCAGACAATTGCAGCCAAGGGTCGCCCAGTTTGGGAAATTCAAGGTGTTGAGAACAAGGGTAGACGACTTGTGTGCTTGGGCACGAATAGCTCAAGACGGGCTGGCTGAGAGGAAAGGGAGAAAAGAGGAATGCGGCATGAAAGGAGTGGATGACTACATCAACACAATATCACCCGGTCGAGTGACGATGACGATGTGCTCCTTTGACCACCAGACTACCTAGTGGTCTGCTAGTCAATTCAGGGCCCAGGTACACGTAGAGAGAGACATTGACAGTGCCAGAGAGACGGGGCGCAAGGACAGGACCCTCGATGCGGCTGCAGAATGTGGCTTTACTTGGCTAAGCAGGCTGCAGGTGTGGCAGAGACAAATGGGCAAGGTCAGTTTGCGACAAGAGGTTGGATCGAGATGAGGCGGGAGGCAGACGTCATTGGAAGGGGCACGAGATGCCACGGCTCTCCCATCTCCCATCGCGCGGCTGGGCTGGTCGAGCGGCGGAAGAGGGCGTCCCGGAGACAGCTGGACAGACCAGGTAGAAGAAAGAGATGACACCGTAGACTAGGTGTCTAGTTCAGTTACAAAATGAGTGAGCGGGAGTCCCGTAGGCCAGACAGTCAGTCAGATCCTCCGCCACATCATAAAATAACAGAGATGGACATTGCAGGTGCCGCCGTCGACGTTTGACGCAGGCCATCAATCAATCGTTGCCGTAGACATGACGTCGACTGAGCCCCACCCCTGTCAGACCAGGGCGCGCTGGTCTCGATCCGCGCACTTTCGGGACGTGACGTGCGGCGTGCCTGACGTGAGTGGGTGTTCTCTTCCACAGGGCAGGAGCATTCTCTCCTTGTTGGACCCACCTTCTATGTCGTCTGCTCCGGCTACCGTTGCATTTCATTGTCCGCCTGCATGGTGCGACGAGGCCATCGACATCGTCCTCTCCATCACCATCAGCCAGCCGTATATCTGGGTATCCCATCCCAACTACCAGGCTCAAAACCCAATTCGAAATTTCGAATACGGGGACTCCAATCTCGATCCCCAAATCCCATACCCCAGCCCTGGTCGGGCATGGAATTGTTGCATGGCACTTTCGGTCCTTTCCCGCAGATGCAGATGCAGATGCAGATGCAATATGCAAACGCAAATGCAAATGCAAGTACTCACTGCTCAGGCTCATCCGCGCCAATCTCTTTCGGCCGAGTGGCCCGCATCGCAGTGTCACAACCTATTTCGCAACCCCGAGATCGATTCGATACGGGCCCGCCCCAGCCATGCCACGACAGGGGCAGGGGTGCACCATCTTTCGATGCTACCTCTGGCATGGATCAAGCAGAGAGCAATGGCATTCTAGGACATCGGTGCAAGAGCGCCACCTACGCAGCAGCGCATTCTCAGATGCACGTGCCACAGCACACCGCCAGGAACCGCTCGGTGAGCACGCGAGGAAATGTATAGTCTAGTCACCCGAGTTTGTTCAACACCGTCCGTGGGGATGAGCAACGGGGCGGGCCGCGCAGTCCGGCAGCTCACCACCGGCACCACGTCATCGCGCGCCTCCGATCCCCTAACATTCCTTCTCTGTCAAAACAGTTGACTCCGGCGTCGCGAATCCGTTGCCCTTGGTTTGGTTCTTGTCCTACCCAAGAGTCCTATTTACCCGACTTTTCTCTTCCATTACCATTGACCTCACTGCACTGCTGCAGGACGAGAAGAGTGCGAGTCACCAAACACACGCCACCACCTCGGCATGTGCCATAGCAAAAACACAAAGGCTACTCAGTAAGTCGGCGATGAGAACAGGACAACGAAACGCTGCAGTCATGAATTCTTAGGCCACTTTAAAATGAAAGCCTTGATCAGGGTTCCCGTTATTCTCAAATCCTTATCGACCTTGAACTGTCCCAGGCACAAGCCTAGAATATATCAAATCAATGATAACGCAGCCAAGTGCATTTTAGTTCGATGCGGACGTTGGCGCCGACTGCGGGAATTGATGACCAAGCATGTGTATCACACTCACTCCGAAGTCCCTTGGGGACGGTCAGATTCGGCATCTCACAAAGTGCGGAGAGTCCACAACTATCCCGAAAAGTCGTACGGAATGCGGCCTTTCTTCCAATGCATTATAAATATCAAAGTTGGTCGCTGGACCCACCTTCCGCTTACAACAACAACAATTACCAACAGCGGGCGAATGATCAGACCGATGTGCGATTGGCTTGAGACCAAACATGGAGCTTTGTATCAAAACAATTTTGGCACTTAAAGCCTCGATATATCTACATCGCCGGGAAACATGCCACTTTTAGTGAAAGCCTTCAATCGTCCCAAAAGGGCCCCCCAGAGTTTGAACATCGAAACAAAAGTTTACCGTCGAATAGATTTTCACAATGTCCAAGCTCATTGTTGTGGTGGGAGTCACCGGTGCTCAGGTGTGTAACTCCAGTCTCCAAATATACATAACTTTGAAACCTTCTAATCCGATCACAGGGAGGGTCTGTCGCCCGAACATTCTCGCAACTCCCTGAATGGCGCGTCCGCGGCATCACACGAAACCCTTCAGGCGATGCCGCCCAAGCCCTGGCATCAGAGGGAATTGAGATCGTGCAGGGGGACCTAGACGACAAGCAGTCCCTCGCCCGGGCATTCGAAGGCGCCACGGCCATCTTTTCCAACACCGACTTCTTCACCCACTTCTACGCCGCCCTGGACCCGGCCAACCTGCCCGCCGGGCTCTCGCCCGGCCAGCACGCGCACGACCGCGAGGTCGAGCAGGGGATGAACATGGCCGCGGCGGCCGCGGAGCCGGCGGTGCTCAGGACGCTCGAGCGCTTCGTCATGTCGAGCCTCTCGCACGCGAGCAGGTGGAGCGGCGGCAAGTACACGAGGATATACCACTTCGACTCCAAGGCCGAGATGATCCGGCTGACGCGCGAGCGCCACCCGGCCGTCGCCGCGCGCATGAGCACCCTCCAGATCGGGCACTACGTCACCAACTGGAAGCAGCTCGCGAGGCTGGCCCCGGAGAGGCAGGCCGACGGGAGCTTCGTCATGTCCCGGCCGACGTCGGCCGCTTTGAGGATGCCGTTTATCGTCACGGAGAGGGACACGGGCGCGCTCGTCAAGGCGCTGGTTGACCTCCCTCCCGGGAAGGACCTCATGGGCGTGTCGGAGTGGATGACCTTCCCGGAGTGGGTCGAGGTTTGGGGCCGTGTGCTGGGGGTGAAGGTCGGGTTTCGACAGATCTCGAAGGAGGAGATGTTTGAGGGTGTCCCTGAACCTATGGCGCAGGAGATTGGGGACAGTTTTGACTACATTGAGGAGTTCGGGTTTGCTGGGGGAGACCCGGAAGTGTTGGATCCCGAGCAGGTAAGACCGTTGCGCACTCATCCGTACTTTAGGAGGCTCGGCTAACATTCTTTCAGCTCGATTTCAAGATTCCTTTGACATCGATGGAGGAATACATCAGGAGCGAGGATTGGTCGTCTATTTTGGATGCTTGAAGAATAGCCTGGTATCCAGGGAAAGACTTCTTCAAGGCCAATTAGCTCCTGCCGCTCACCGTATCCCTTTCTTCTCGAGCACCATTTCCAAGGTCAATCTCTGTGGTAGATCTTTGAAACGGACCGCGATGACCTCGGCCATTGAGTGATGCAATGAACAATTATCTCAATCCGCTGCTGCCATTCCCAGGCAGAGTTATTCCTTCCTTTCCGAGACATCGTCATGGTCACCAGCATAACTGTCGACCTCGCATGAGACAAAGTTTGATGCCTTTATGTTGCGTGAAGAAGATGTCCAATTCCTGATAAGTCCTATCCTTCATCTCAGGAGGTTGAAAGTACATCCAAAGGAAACAAGGCGGCACCTCTGAGATCTTACGACTTGGGATTCGGGAAATTCGGCATTTTTGTTGAGTGTTGTTGTAAAATGACTTGACGCATTTCAATATCTGTGATTGTATTTGCAAGATGTATGTGAATCATTTACATTTTCTTACGAGACTGGAAATCTTCAGCCCTTCTTTCGCCGGAGTCGGTGAAATGATAGTAGTTCTATAAGTCGATTGACCTACTCATCACTCCAAGCTACCATCTCTGCTACCCAAGCTCAGAAAGCAGGTCTTTGGGTGTCATCCGGGGTGAATGATGTGGGCCCTGTGGTGACACTTGAAGAGAGTGAAGGGGTGTCTGACGTCTTGGCTTCAAAGAAACGCACCACTTGTACCTGATGTGTGGATCAGCGAATGCGGATTTACCATATCTGGCTCGGTACTCGTTCAGGAAGGGTACGCAATTGCGATAGCAATCGTACAGCTGGATGTGTGCTGTAGTCTTCTTGCCATCAGCAGGTCGTAACAAAATGATTTTTGGAGAGAACAACATTCGTCAGAAACTCATCCAGACCACCTTCACCAGCTGCGACTCTATCGTCTATGAACTGAACCCTGGTGTCGATGTTCGATCTCTTGACACCGAGGAATTTTTCGAGCTTCTGTACTATAGGCTCAACGAAGTCTGCGCATTCGCGTGAGTCGCGGAAGAAGTCTGCTGGATATGACAACTGCACTCTTGAGGAGAAGAGGCGCTTCGTCACATCGGAAACTGTCATGGCCTTTATTACGGAACTGGCCACCCGGGCATTGCGAGTGATCAATCCAACAGTATCCAATTCCCTGTATTTGATGTTCAGTATTTGCTGGTGCCCAAACAGGATCTTCTCGATAGCACACTGACTTGGAGACTGGAACCACGCCGGACGTCGAAACGATTCCAAGTGATGTGCGGAGCCCAAAAAGGCCGTGGATGGCGGCAGGGCTGATAATGCTTCCAAAAGCTGGAAACCAGTCAGCTACGGTAGCAGCTTCACCGATATGGAGACTCACTGTCAGTGGCAATAGAAATGTCAACCCAATCGTAGGCCGAGCAAGCAGTTGCGCTGCCTGCACTACTGCAGCCCGGATCTTGATATCCATCACCTCGTGGGCAAAATGGTGCGTGGTAGTCGAACCAGTCCTGGGCAGACTCTCCAGAAGCGAATTGTACCGTCTTCACTTTCCCGACTATGATGGCCCCAGCGGCCAATAGCTTTTCAACGCACGGGGCATTCCAGTCCCTAGCGCCATGTAATTCAGCGTAGGCTCTATTGCCCGCACTTTTTGGCACGCCAGAAATGTCGATGTTGTCCTTGATCGTAACTCTCATCCCAGACAGTGGCTTTTTCGGAGATGGGTCCTCGTAGAAACAGCGACTGGGTACAGGTATGCCGGCAGTGCCCAGGATTGCGAACCTGCTCTAAACTTAGCCTTGCCTATAAGCCTTGAACCGATGAGCCTCACCTGTTGGGATGGATCCTGCTCAGTAGGCACGACTGGAAACATGAAAGCCTGGTTGTTGTCGGTAAATAGCCTCCACGCGGGTCGAATTCCTGTCGAACAAGTGAAGTACGGTCCGGGAACCCAGATTTGGGTGCTCCCTGGAGACGACTCTGCAGGGACAAGATGAACTGAAGAGGTGCCCCATCCGTGTAGAAGATCGTCCAAGTCAGTACTGCTGCGGGTCTCAATGAAGTTGGCAATGTCCCCAGCATTGAACGATACCAGATATAGCCGCCTCAAGAATTCCACAGCGAAGACATCGTCTTTTTCCAACCATGATCTCAAGGTGCCATTAAGAGCAGTAATTAGAGAGCCAAGTCCCTGCTGAGCGACATCATCAAGCAGGAATATGCTTGAAGGCACAACATCGGAGACTGGATCGGGTGCCGAAGAAGACCATATCTGCCTCGTAGAAGCCGGAACTTCTGATGTTGTCGCCGGAGTGTAGTACGGCACTCCACCGATAGAAGTCAGCGACGAATTCGGAATGGCCATGGTCGGCTGGAATGACCTTCGACCTCAGGTGCGATGCAATGTTGAGTGGACGTGGTCTTCTCCGTTACCAAGGGTTGGCCGTAACGATGCCACGTGTGGCAGCTGCCTGGTGGACAGCTCAAGAAAACAAGCGACAGTTCCTTCAGTTGGAGGGGTTCCACAAAAGAGAGGAAAGAAAGCTATCTACAACTTCGCCGGCGCCGAATGGTGAAGGCAAAGGGTGCCAGCCATAGGGTTGACCCTAACCCTTCACACATCCCTTCTTGCCTGCCACACCTTCGGCGATACCTCCTGGTGCTTCTCCGCCTGGGGCCTGCTCCACCTACCTCGGAGGTCCTGTTAGGCTTAGAGACCATCCCTTATCGCTTGTGTTACTTGCAGGCCAGGCTTTACCAAGGGCCTGAGGCATTGGCTACAGCAGCACCGTTCAATGTTTGTGTACAGAGCCTCATTGCTTGGTATCGAAGCTTTCGTGTTGACCGTCCAGATGCTCATTGGTGCCACGCAAACAGTCCTGCAGGGTAATCAAGGCAACTGTCAGCATTGTACAACCACACACACATGCTGTGTAATTGTACCAGCAGCCTTACTGTCAATGTGCGTATGGTATTGGCTGAGTTAACCTTGGCATCCAAGTAGAAGCCAGGCAGCAGTACAAAAATGCTGATCTCCTGTTTCAAAACAAGACAAATCAGCCTTGCGAGGAGTAACGTTCGGAACGTGTGGCGCCATTTTACATATATTATCAGAGCCTGCACCGTGTCCTCCAAGTTCTGATTAATATTTCAACCACTTGTACCGGATTTCTCGTGTTCATTACTCTGACAATCAAGGCCGTTGGCGTGAGACACAGCGGTGGATCCCAAATTTAGAGCTCGCACTTCTAGCAGCGCCAACGACGAAGCGTCTTTGGACAATACTTGATCTTGAGCTACCGAAGATGCCCCAGAGGCTTCCCAGCCCCTCACAACCAGGCCTTGCGCCATACTACCCAGCGGGTATGCCGTCCTATACTGAACCTGTATCGTTCAATCCTGCCCTTCATTACCCACCACAAATCCATCACGGGGGTGTCATCACGGAATCTAGCAGTTCCTCAGGAGATTCACCAACGGAGGAAGAGACCATCCAAGACTCACAAGTGGGCATGACGGCGGAGTCCAAGAACCTCTATCGTGAAGACCCTCGACTGCCATGGCAAGAGTTATCACTAGAGGAGATCGGCATCGATGCCAACGCAATATCCGCTTCTAACAAATTTGCTCTGGTGGTCAGGCGTGAAAAGCGTATTGGCGACACTGACCAGCCCGCCATTTCTCTGCATTCCATTACCATACAAAGCCCCCTCATCAAAGCCTTGCTCGGTCCTGTTTTTGCCGACTATCAGGGTATCAACACGAGTCTGAAAAGGCTAGAGTTCATAGCTCCATTCCATGAGTTCTTCTACCGATGGACTGAGTTCACTAGAGTCAAGGGTACGCTGCAGGATGCAACTGAAGTTGCTCACTACGGACTTCTGTTCGATATTGTCAGCAACGAGATCACACCACACATTGAACAAGCTGGCGATCTGGTCAAAAATGGGGTGATTTCGTTCGAATACCTTTGGTCACTTTTCGAGCCAGGTACGGAAATCTACTCTAGGGTTGATGAACAGGACCGTCTCTACCTACTTCTTGCTTCCCGTTACGTGGACATCGGCCCGGGCATGAGGATCTTCAGCTTGACATGCCGCTACGTCGAAACAGATGGCACCAGTTTTGGATTCACGACCGCAAACTTGACCATCAGCAGCTTCGCCAACGTCAAGCCAATCTCAGACCTTAACGTCCTGCCAAGCCACCTCAAGTCGGACATAGATGGGATCCGGACAAGGCTATACGCCAGGGGCATGAAGTTCGAACAACTGAATGGATTTCATCACAAGTCCTACAATGGATTCTATAACTTCTTGGAAGTACCCTTTGGAGGTTCCAACAAGAGATATGTGAGTGTCCCACATTTCCGTCTTATGGTCTCCAGCTGAGCTAACAATCTTTTCTTCATGGAGGTTCAAAACGGTAGGGTTATCGTTGACTGTGGATCATTCATGCGATACAATGCAGACTCGCAGGTGAATCTTGCTCCGCTGAGCGGACCACCGCCATCAACTCACTTGGATCCTATGTCGTCCGTACTCGACATAGACGACAGGGACATGATAGATTATGCTTCACCAGCCATGCGACAGATGCAGCAGATGGCAAGAGTTTCGAGACGAAGATTTGCAGCTCCTCCATCAACATCTCAGAGTACGTTGTCCATCCCTCATGCAAGCTATGCGCCTAAACCCAATGTACTGCTTGTTACATCAAGAAATCCATGGGCTTTCCTTACTCACGCGTACGAAAATAGGCAAATCTCTATCCGAAGAACATTATGTCCTCTGCAGTCCCACAGTCAAAGGATTCTGCCTGAGGGCCAAGCAATGGGGTGTGTATAAGACCGGTGCCGTGGTCTTACCGAACAGAACTAATACCCTGGTAGTGATCCTCTACATTGACTCAATCGGCGAGATCGAATGGAGCAGCGATGCCTTCAAACAGCTTGTCCTGCCTCACGACTACAAGCGAATCGTGTGGGCGTTCGTCGAGGCCCAGATATCCCAGCAAGACACTTTCGATGACCTAGTCCGTGGCAAGGGCAAGGTAAGTCGTCTTATCAAGTAGCAATCATCGGTGTGGGGAAGGGCCTGCTAACTAATTCTGCACAAGGGGTTCATCATGCTCCTCAGCGGAGAACCGGGCACAGGCAAAACGTTGACCGCAGAGTCAGGTACGCAGAATCCTGGTCAAGTGTGAGATCAGCAGCGTGCCAAGCTAATCATTTGTCACGGCTCACAAGTTGCCGACGCAATGGAAAAACCCCTCTATTCAATGAGCGCTGGCGAGCTCGGGAACCAGGCCGTCGAGGTCGAGAGGAACCTGCAGCGGGTGCTCGAGCTGTCGACCAAGTGGGGAGCGGTACTGCTCCTAGATGAATGCGATGTATTCATGGTGAAGCGTTCCTCGTCCGACCTCCACCGGAACCAATTGGTATCCGTCTTCCTGAGGCTGTTGGAGTACTACGAAGGGGTGATGTTTCTCACCACCAACCGGATTGAGTCGTTCGACCCGGCTTTCGAGTCTCGCATCCACCTCACCATCAACTACCCCAAGCTGGATCAAAGCTCTAGGCTGCACATCTGGCGGACATTTGCCAGCCTGGGTGCTGTAGCTGGCTCCACGAGCGAGCTGGACGAGGAGAGTTTGCTGAGACTTGCGGAAGCTGAGCTCAACGGAAGGCAGATCAAGAATGTGGTGAAGACGGCACGCCTCCTCGCCGCTGGGGACAAAACACCCCTTCGCTTGGACCACATAGAGACAGTGATGCGTGTCAAACGAGGCGACCGTGCCTATGTTGGCGGCAACGGCTCGGAAGTGGAGGCAGAGTGTTAATCGCGTCACAGACTTCGTTGATAGAGAGAAGTCGGCACGCAACCATATGCGATGCACTTCAGCAGTCATAGTGTTGCAGTACAAATACTTGCTGATCCAGGTTACTTCATTTTCACGCTTGTGTATAACCTCCGAAACACACTCAATGTTGCTTAAACGCTCCGTAGAACAAGCCCAGCCCCGCACCCTCGCCCAATATTTGATGAGACTGGAATCGACATTTTGATCATCATTGTGCAGGCGTGAACGAAAGCTATGCTTGCAAGGAATACTTGTGCGATTCATGCATTTACCTCCACGTTTCCCTTGCCGTCAACAACCAGTCTAAGATTGACGTTGAAATTCATCGTATTGCCGCCAGCACCATTATTCATCCCGCTCAACTGAATAGGTATAGTGGTTGGGTTTCCAATTCGGCTATTGTTAGGGCCTACATTGACGTTTCTTATGTCGTTGATACGGTCACCGATCTCTATCACATTTCCATCCCCTATCGTATTGTTGCCGTCGCCAATATCAAAGTCATCCCCTGCAGGTACACCTCAGCTTTAGTCCGGACTCTAGCCTGAACTCCAATCCAAGGTAGGCTCATGAGTGTATGCACGGTGCAATAGTGAACACATACCAGTATCAATATCGTTGCCAGTTCCGGTAAATCCTACACCGTTGCCGTCTGACAGTTTGAGACCTTCGTGACTACCTGGGTTGATCGATCGTTGCGCTCTAATTACCAGTCGTGCAAGCCTCCTCTTCTGATTTCGCAGGCCTGTTGATTTCACAGTAGGACGGATTGCGGAGTGTATGGCAAGATACAATTGACATAAACAAGCCTATTGAACGCCCAATTGACAACAATCTTTGGTGCTGCGCACGGTTTTGCATATTCGAATATTTTATTCTGTCGAGTTCTTAGAGCAAGTGCTCCTTTAATGAATTGTCCAACCTCCCCCCCCCCCCGCCCCCTCCCCGGGCCGTCTATACGTGACTGAAACGAATGTGGCCATACCTTCAGAGAGCCCCACAACAAGTCTTCATTACAAAAGATGTCTCAGACTGGTCCAAATGTCCTACGACTGGACCGCTGATGATCATCTGGTGTCTCCTCCTGCATACACGTTTCCTCCAAATTCCTCAACCAGTCCCCCGATAGAGCTTCGTGTGTGTGCTTGAGGTGCATGCGGAAATGATCAACCCGGTAGAATTTCTTCGAGACGTTGCATTCACGAAATTTGTGATGATCCTGGAGGTGTGCAATGCGTTTCTCCCAGTCGTCGTCTGATGGGTATCGAGCGTACTTTGTTGTGGCTGTCCTGTCGAAATCGACACCGCAGAACCCACACGTGTCAGCCTGGCCCTGTCGAGATTTTGAGTCGTAGAATGCTCTGTCATAGCTGCCAAGCGCTGAGCAAGACCATGAGTGGCTGCGGGCATGCACCGAATTTGTATGAAGCTCTCCGTCATTCTTGTCACGGAACCGGTTCCCGCAGTAAGCACATTCGTACTGCTTTTCAGCTTCATGGGCACTGGGTTCATGCATTTAGCGTGGACAAAAATCAACAGATTCGGATCCGCTTCCTCGAGGAATGTGCCTTACCTAAGTTCTTCGCGAGTATCAAATTTCTTTGGCTTTTTTGGGCAACAGTCACACATGTAGAGACCCTGGACTTTTCCAGCTGCATTTGTTCCGAGTTTAGCTGAGCGTCGTCTAATCAGTTCATGAGCACTAATGGCGGATGGTTTGCCAGGGTGCTGCATGTTGTCGGGGGTGGTAGAGTGAGGGCTGCTGGACATCACCTTTGGTGACTGCCCACTGCCTGGCGAGTCCAAGGCTAGTGTTCCGTAGGCTGCATTTATGGACGAGAAAGAGTTCGTCGATGAGATAGAGTTCGCCCGGTCCGAAGTATTGTCTGCGGTTGACCAGAGGAGAGTAAAGTTGTCCGTGCTGAGTCTCCTCTCGTCATCCTCTTGCGGCGGCGATGTAGCTCTTCTTTTATTTGTCCCCGCTCTGTCGCCCCTCAAACTCTGCACCTCGTCCATGGGTGTAAGAAGAGAGACAGGAGGTGGCGTCATTTCCCTGCAGTCCCTCAAACTCTCCCACTCTTCAAACGGCCAGAAACTAGGAGGAGGGAGAGGAGGTGGAATGGAAATTTCCGTTTCAGAGTCATGATGCTTGACATGATCCGAAGTTGCGTGCTCAGAATCGCTGAAGTCTGGTGCTTGGCTCGCGTCGGGGATGAGCAATGCGGGTTGGGGTGTCATGGCCGCAGCAGAGTCCTTGGACGAGGTTCGTCTGGTCGAGATACGACGACGTACTCTCGTGCTCATATCCATACCAAACATGTTTTTTAGGAACTCAAAAGAGTCATGAATTCCATTTCACATGCGACCCTTGAATATCGCCTCACGTGCAACTTTGATGTGCTTGGATACCTTTTGATCGATGTCTGATCCTGATAGCAAGGGCTCAAGGTCCTCGTCGGAAGTGATCGGATCCCATCCAGCTGATGCGGCATCGAAGATGTTGATCGCTGTATAGCAGTACTGGGTACATTGAGTAGGGTCGGAATCCTTGACGAGGAGCCCGGAATTGGTCCCGGCCATAATCATGACAAGAGTCTGCCGAACGGGCGACTGGATTAGAAGGCTGTAGAAAACGGAAAGCCACCATCGTCGATCGCTTTGGAGTGCCTTCTTCCGGAAGAACACCTTAGACAGTTCCGATGTGTATTGCTGGATTCCATGCTGCAATTCTGCGAAGGATTTAAAATAGCAGCCATCTTCTCGGGTTGTAACACAGGACTCATGCATCCCACGGCAGAGAAGACCGTGACCGTGGAGCTTCCAGAGCTCCAGGCAAGGCCGTAAACAATCGAATGATGTAATGATGAGTTTGTCCTGTAGTCAGGAAGTCAGCCCTAACCAGGCGTATCGGTACAATTGTTATAACTCACCACATCTCCAGCTTCGGCGGCATATCTGCTGGCAGCTTTGAGAAGCTCCCTGATCTGAGATATTGACCCCATATTTAATTGCGGTACCAGAGTAGTCTTATGACGCATTTGCGGAAGTCATATTGGTGATACGTGGAGCTCGGGAATTGCAAGAGATGCAAGCACTCAGAGCAGCCAGAGCACGTTCGGCGTTTTGCTGGTTCATTCGCAGTGAAGGACGCTGTTCTGCCAATGTTGCTCACAATAACAAGACGTCTGCCTGTCTTTTCGACTCTCAAGGTCGGCGTTACACTCGAGCAGTTGGGATCTTCTTGTAAGTCTTGAGTTTGGAGATGGCATCGACGTGTTGCAGTTGCAAGGCAGTGGTTGATCCTTGTCTGCAATTGGTGCAAGGGAAATGGGCAATGAGATGATCCGGAAAGACAAGTCTTGATCTGCATCTCAAGTCGCCCTCGCTGGCACCCGATCAGTTGCCATGCAGTTTGACCGCCTCTGCGTGGACAGGCTCTGCAAGGCTGATCCACGTCGCACTTGAATTCGCGTGAGCAACATTGTCAAATTCTCCAATCGGGTTGTCAGGTTTTATAACTCACCTTCTTCCTAAGAATTTTACATCTCCAGCATGCACCCTTAGCATGCTTGAGTTCCTCCATTCCCTTCCGAACGAGATCACTCAGCCGCCCTTTCCTCCGAGGGGACGGAGATGGACAAGGAGCAGGGCGTCCGCCTGAGAGCAGAACCTCCGGGCGCTGACTGCGACCTCGTCCTGAATGCCAAGCTTTCTGTAGCCCGCCATCCTCGGGTACTTCATTATCCGATATCGAGTCGGGATAGTCCAGAAGCCCAGACGTGGCCCTTTCTGTGTTTCGAACCCCCGATTCTGGGGTCTCCTGGGTGGAGAGAGAACTTGGATGGCGTTGGGAACTCGTACTGGTGGTCTTTGCTTCGAGCAATTGGCCATCAAAGCCCTGAAAGTCATAGTCGTCGATAACGTATTCGTTAGAGATGCTCCCAAAGTCTCCGTCGACCCAGACATTGGTGTCCAACGAAGTCCAGTCAACCAGATCGCGCCAGGATGAGGATGGGTCCTGTTCAGCTTCCGTTTGAGTTGGTTCAAGCCCTGTGTCACAAGACGATGAGGGATTGCCAGCCCGTGAATCCATGTCTGTCGACTTGTGGTTCAGGAAACAGTCTCGCACCCCTCTAATCGCATTTACAGCTTTGGTTGAAACGATGGAATAGAGTTGCCCGCAAGTCCCGACGGCCAAAAGTGGGCTACAGAATGGGCTCTGATTGAGAATAATCTGTCTGTTTGTGTGTTGAACAGTCTAACGAGACCCTCGATTTCTCTATTGTAATGCTGATAGTTTCGAAGATTCTTCAGGCTTGTGCATGAATAGATGGAGGAAGGAAATTAAATTAACTCAAGCAGTCAGCACGAATGATATCTGTAGTCGTCAGATTTGCCTAGCCAATGAGGTTGGCTGGATCGGGCTGCCTGCTTGAGGACCGCCTCAACCCCTGCTGGATGCTGAGAGGCGGTCCCCCTAGGAGTGGTTCCTTGGCGACCTGCAGTAGTCCGGAGCAAACTTGGGATATTCGTGTGCAGCGATTTTGGTTGGCCAAGTATTACTTCTCCAATGTCCCACAACAAGCCACCACAATGTGGCAGTCTGTTTCCACGCTGTTCCACCTTTATGCTATGTATCATTGGCGGTCCAAGTTGGATTTGACCCTAGGTAGACAAGATCATGGCAGTCCTAGTTGGACCGCCAGATGGACCGCCAGATGGACCGCCAGTTGAGTGACGCGTCTGTCCCGTCCTCAAGGGTTCGTGATATCCTGGCTCCGGCCTCCACCTCACCTTATATAAGACGCGTCCTCGAAAGTTGTGTATAGGCCTACAAGGATCGCTGCGCAAAGGATAACGGTGCCCCTTCAGTCACATGACAATATGGCTTTACAAGCTCAATCTGCCCAAGAGCTTGACAAGCTGACCCTGTGTGAAAGCGGCTGGCCACTTTTTCAACAGCACTTACGGATCCTGGAGAACTCATCCAGCAACCAGATTCAACTCTCTAACTTCTTGGCCCCAGACACCACCTCTCTCGAAACTTACCTCCCCTTTGAGACATCAAATCCCCCACCCGCCATCACACACGATACTCTTGAGCCATTTCAGTGCACAGGTCACAACTTGCCTTTGCAGTTTGGTGATCCTCAACTTCCCGGACTATCCTATGATACTGGGTGCAACACCGTTGTTCCCAGTCCAGCTTCTGGAAAGTTCTATGGTGGTGGAAGTGCAGCCAGTGGCAGTCAATCGACACTCGACAGCCCCAATGTGTCAAGCCCTCTGCAAAACGCGTATTCTGCCATGCAGAGAAGCCATGATATCGCAGATATCGGGGCTACAATTTGTTCGCTGGTAGCAGAACACTTGAAGCGACTGAGCGGTCTGAGCAATACACCTGTACCGGGGATGTGGGGTCCTTCTAAACGGTTGTTGAGCGGTGCAATCACCGCTTAGGGGGTCTAAATCGCGGGCGTTTAGGAGGGGAAGTTGGACCGTTTAAATCTTTAAGCAATTTAAAATCTCTAAGTAATTTAAACTATAATTAATAATTTAATTATATATAAGTAATTTTAGCATAGTTTATTTAAATAAAAGGAAAAAATTACTCTTTTCATAATATTATTAACTTAATTAGCAAAGTAAAAAAGAGGGGAAGTAAAGAAAAGGAAAGGGAAGGGAAGAGAATTTTAAAAAGGAGCTCCAAAAGCAAAAGTAAAAGGGATTCCCAAAGGGAGGAAGGGATCTTAGAATTTAATTCTTTCTTAGCTAAAGTTAATGCCAAAGGCCCTTTTGCTAAAACACCCTCCTACTCTCTGCCAACCGCTCCTTCCTTTTAACTACTTAAGCAGGTTTAAACTGCTTAAAGATTTTAAACCGTTCAGAGATTTTAAACCGCTTAAAGATCTAAACGGTCCAACTTCCCCTCCCAATTTTAAACCGCTTACCTGCCCCCAGTCTAGCCGGTACAGACAGGCAACCACACCGCCCCGTCCCGCGAGAAATGATCCGCTTTCGCCACCTGATACCATGAATGCCAGCTGTATACTCGTCGACTCTCAAGGCTACAAGCCCAGCCACCGATCTAGAAAGACACGGAAAGTGGCAAACGTTGGGCTTGTTAAGCACGCCAAGGATAGAGTAGCGAGGTAAGGTACAGCCCAGATCCGTATACGAATGAACGCCTACGCTGACGATGCTTCGAAGATCTCGCAAGGAGCGTCGGGGAGACTTCACGTGTTCGCAACCTGGATGCACGACCAAAGCGTTGTCATCGAGACGTAACCTGCTGAGACACCAAGAGAATGTACATTCGACGCCTGTAGTCCTAGCTTGTGGTTCTGTGCAGAAGTACCGTCGAGACAACTTCGTCCGCCATCGCCGAAACTGCCAGAATTGTCAGGAAAGCAGTTCATGATCTTGTTGGACGAGAGTGTCGGTTGCTCAAGACGTTGTTGGGAGCATAAGCATATCAAGAAGTTGAAGGTAGTGAAAAGTCAGGATAGATGCGCGCACTCAGTTTGAAATCCTCCCTCTAGCTCTGTATACGTATCTACAAAACTTTCCAACCACTTGGCAGACAAGGACACACTAGTCAACATTATCTCACACAGGACTTGAGCAACTGAAACTTGTGGCAACCCCTGACTCGAAAGCACTCATAAGCTGGAGGATGGACGAGTAGCATCCCAAGCCGCATGCGGCGAGCGTGCCAAGAAGATAAATGAGGTTCCATGCGTGAAAGAACGGCCGCTTCATGAACCCACGCGCGAGCCGCCTCCACCCCTGGTCAATGCGGTTGTACGTCCGAGACGCCTCGTCGAAGACCTCGGAGTCCCTGACGACGGCATCCTCACGGATGAAGTAACCCAGGGCGCCCCATGCAGGCAGGATGTACGTGAAACCCAGCCCAAACAATGCACCCACCAGGCCCGAGATAGACGCAAGCTGTGGGATAGCCGCAGCCAGGACAAAGCCGATGCTCCAATAGATTGGAATCAGGCATGCCCACCAGATCTTGCCCATCGCCGATGTCAATGGCGGAAAGTTCAGCGGCTCCAGCACTTCCGCGTACGCAATCTTCAGCCCGACGTTGGAGTAAAGCCCAGTGGCAATCAGACCAGCCACCATTCCCAGGACGTTCAGACATGTTTGCCAACCATAGACCGAGATTCCCTGTGCGATGGGGATGAACGTGAACTGGCCTTGGAAGTGGTATACCACCATACCGAAGAACAGATACACAGAGGTCAGGAATGCCTGCGCGCAGATCATCCCCTTCCAGAAGTCCATCGGGTGCCGCATCTCTGCCATGAAGGCAGGGAAGAGCATGGCACCACCATAGGCAAACACGGCCTGCATGGCCCCGTTGACAGAGGCGACGAACCCCGAGCCGCCGGTGGCGAGGCCCATGGGCGGCGAGCCGGCGAACGTGCGGATCGGGCCGGGGACGCCAAAGTCCGGGCCGAAGGAGGCAGACAGGGCGGCGAAGTTGGGCGGGTAGTGCGCCACGAGGCCCATGACAATGAACATGCTCAGCAGGTTGATCCAGACCGAGAAGTTGGCCAGCCAGGAGAAGCGCTGCATCGTGCGGATCTGCCCGACGACCATGCCCGCGAGGGCGAAGACGAGCACGCACACGATGAAGCAGAGGCCCGGGCCGGTGCCGTTGACCTGCGAGATCTGGGAAATAGCCTGGCCATTGAGAAGAATAAGGAACGCGATGATGACGAGGAGCTGGACCGCCTGGGCGACGTGGACGAAGTAGCCCGACCATGGCCCGAAACACCGAAAGAAGAGATCGGCGTAGTTGCGGATCGGGTAGCGGTCCGAGTCGAGGCCAAGGAACATCTTCCACAGGATCCAGCCCGAGCTGTTCTCCTTGTCAGCAAAATGAGATCAAAACGGGTAATGTTGAGGCTCACTATGCGGAGAGAAGCCCAAAGGCAAAATATAGCGCGAAACCGGCACCGTAGCCCGTCTGAGCAAAGGCCCATCTAGGACAGTTATCAGTGGCAAGTTCAGTTTTCCTTTGGGGCGCGTGATGTGCACTTACGGAGTGTTCGATGGACCCAAGATGTCCGTGGTGATAAGGTAGAAGACGCTGCCCCATCCAGCGGTGCGAAGCGCCCTATTGGCGGTGTGCAACTCTGGATTGTCCACAGGGGAGGGAGGTGATCCTGTGTTGGGAGATGCTGCTTGAATGTTCTTCTCGTCCATCTCCTGACTCGCCCCTGTGCCCTGTCGATTGACTTTGTTCGCGGTGTTATGGCCCTTGGATGACGTCTGAAAACGGTCCAAAAAGAGTGACCTTATTGTTGATGGGCCTCGAGTGCTTCTGTATGCTTCGTCCGCAACTCTTTCCTCGGCGCGTGTGATGGACGCATAGTGCAAATATTCTTCAAAGCTAACTTTTAGCTCGAGTTGTTTCCCGGCAGAGAGATAGGTGTGAGCAGCGTTTGAGATGGTCGCGGGAGCCTCACTGCCCTTGACATTCAAGGGCCCTCCTATGGTTGGGGTGGCCATGCTTACTCGACAATGATTGTACGACCAATGATTGTACGGTCCAACCTGGACGAGGACAGACTGCGAAGTGAAGCAGGCGACGGCCCGGTTAAATATTCTGAGGAGATATCAGTTACTCATCAGATCATGACACCCCTGGCGAGTGGTTCTTCGGTCGAACGCCACCTGGGTGAGCACTGATGCCGCGTGCACTAGCAAGTCACAAAAGCAATGCGATAGGGTTCCTCGCACTCGACGCCAGTCTATGAGCCTGCAGTGCTACCCAAAACATGCACCTTGCATATCCCTGAACGAGCTAACTGCAGGGAGTAAGCTGGCCAAGGTGGCCAGTTGAGGTCTAGATGTCAGCATGGAACGGGCCGGGGTGGCTCACCAGTGCTTAGCATCTTACCTACCTAGGCAGGTATGTTGCACAAGTAGTGGCCATACATCTCCAGTCTCTTATGTTTTTGTGCTGGTCAACTATAATTCTGTATGGAGAGTGTCCCGTATATTCACCAAATATCTTCTTCTCCCTCCTCGTGGACAATTCTTCGTTGTGCTTTGCCCCTGGTCACGTCGCGGAATTGGGATAGAACGGGTGGGGCGCGTATACTAGACCCGGCAGATGGGTGTAAGTGGTGCTTACTCTCATATGCAATTAAACGTTCTATTTTGGCGTTAGTGGCCTGCATATAATACTTTATACTAAAAATTATATGCACTTGTTATGCTATGCTTTTTTTAATTATTAAGTATAATTATTTATTTTATAACCCTTATAATATTATACCTTTTGCTATATTATATATTTTAATTATTATAAATTAATTTATAGTAATTTTATAATTATATCTTATTATTTAATTTCTTTAAAGCTTTATATAATTTAGGAATTATTAAATATTAATTAAATAATAATATTATTATTATAAAGATTATAAAGTGCTTTAATTAATAAATTTAAAAGCTAAGAAAGAGAAATTTAATATTTAATATTATTATTAAGTTAAGCAACTTATATAAGGCTATTTAATTAATTAACTTTTATTATAATATATATTATTTAAGTTTTAAATATTTATTCTTTTTAATATATATTTTTATTATTTAAGCCTTTCTTAATTATTTTGCTTTAAAAAATAATTTATATTAAAATAAAATATAATAATAGTTATTAAATAACTTTAATTTAATTATTTTTTAAAGTATTATTAATTAAGTACTTAAAAAAGTTAAATAAAATAAAAAGATTATAAGTATAATTATTACTTAATAAGATTATTTTATTTAAGTTAATTAAATTATTAAAACTTAAAAACTTATATAAATTAGTTTATCTTTATTAATAAGTTTAATATAAATAAAGAAAATAAGCTATAATATATAAAATAATTATTAAAGAGTATTAAGCTAAAGAAATTTATATTTAGCAATAATAAAGATGGCAATATATAATATTAAGTGCTTTTAATATTTATAATTATAAATATATTTAGTTTATTTATATATAAGGGTAATATAAATAATTAAGGCTTTATTAACTTTATTAAAAATAAGGTTTTACTTAAAATATTGCTATTTTTAAGGCTTAACTTAATATTAATAATAAATAATGCTAATTTTTACTTTTATAAGGACCTTTAATAAATATATAATAAGGCTAGCGTTTAACTTAAGTATTTACCTTTATACTTACTTAATCTTAACTTAATTAAGGTATTCTTTAATAATTTAAAAAAGCATATTTATTGCTACTTTTAATATTATAAAAACTAATAATATATATAAGAGAATTAGCGGTAATTTCTTATTAACTTAATATATAAGGTTGCTTTAAATATAAAAGCAATTTAAGGTTACTTTTAAAAGGCTATGATTTTTAAATTAAAGCAAGCTTAAATTAATTAAATAGCTAATTAATTATATACTTTAATGCATGCATTAATAGCATATATATTTTTTAAGCTTTAATTATCATTATAAGCGTTATAATATATAAGTAATTTAAGTATTTTTAATAATATATATTGCTATACTTATTAATTAAGTTTATTATAATGCCTTAATTATAATATAATATATATTAATAATTATAAGATATATATTTATAAAAAGTATATTATAAAAGAAAGCTTAATTAAATAAATTAAATAATATATTATTTATTTTTAAATATTTATTAAAAGGTTTTTACTTTAAAGGTAATTAAATATACTTAATATATAAGATAATAATTTATTATATTAATATACTTAGCATTTAAATAATTAATTTTATATATTTATATCTTTATTAAAAAAAGTTATATATATAATATAATTTATATATTAAATAACCTTGTTTTTACGTTATTTAATAAGTGTTATTTTATATATATATAATATTGGGAAGGTGGTTACCTTAAGTAGTTAAAATACGAAGTATATATAAAAAATATATTAATTATAAGCTAGCTTAATGCTTAATTAATATACTTATAATTAAACTTATAACTTTTTTATTATATATTTAGTTTAATTATAGCTATTTTAATTAACTAATAAGCTAAATTAATAATTAATACATTTTATTAAAAAGTAATAGCTTTATAAATAAGGAAAGGTATAAGTTAATATTTATAGTAAAGTAGTTAAATAAGGGGCTAGCGTTAATATAAAATAATTAAGTTAAATTAGCTTTAATTTAAATAAAAAGTATATTAATTAATTATTAAATATTAAGGCTATTTATAAGTTATAATTATATCTTATAAAATTGCTTTATTAAGTATTAATAATATAAAAAGATAATAAGTAAATATTATTAAATAGTAAAAAAAAGTTTAATAATAATAACTTTTTTAATAATTTAAAGTAATAAAATTAAATTTATAACCTTTTAATTATATAATATATTTAATTATTATTATTTTAAAGCATTAAAGGCTCTTTATTGCTAAATAAAAGGTAATAAAAAAATAGTTTATATAATTAAGGAAGGTATAAGTTAAGGTAAATATAATGTATATATATATTAACTTTAAATTATTATAATATTATTAAAAACAATTATAAATATAATATAATTTTTATATTAAATAATTTAGCTTTTTATTTTTTTTATTTATAATATTATTATTATAATTAGCATAGAATTTATAAAAGAAATTAATATTTTATATTAAGATATAATAAGTATAAATAAGTTAAGTTAATTTATAAAATTTATTATATTACAAGCATTAATATTAACTTTATTACTTTTTATTTATTATTATTATAATAATGAAAGTAATACTTAAAATACGTTTTTATATATAATAAATAAGCTATAATTAATTACTTTTAATAATATTATTATTTTTATAGCTCTTAATTGCCTTTAAGGGTGTTAATAAACTTAATATACCCTTTTTTAATATATTATATTCCTATATAAAGTCCTTTATATATTAATAAAGAAAGCTTTTTAAGTTCTTCTTAAATTAATAATTAATAAATTATTTATTTAGCTATATTAAAAAGTTTTTAAGCATGCTTAAGCTTGCATTTTAAAGCTTTATAGTTAAGTAATTTATTTCTTGCTTTTCTTAATAATATTGCGCCTTTTAATAACATATATATTAAAGAAAGTTATTTAGTAATTTATTATCCTTAAGGTTATTAAGTATTATTAAGAATAATGAAAATATTAATAAATAATGTAGTAAAAGCAGCGTAACCTTTATTATTAGCATTTTAATAAAAGAAAGGGCTATAAATAGCGTATATATATATCCAGCTGCTTATAATGCTGGTGGTAATAAAGCTAATTATTAAGGCATTAAATAGCTATTAAGGGCATTTATAAATACTAATGCAAGCTAACTATTATTATTATTACCTCCATTAATATTAATAATATTCCCGTTATTTACACCACCCTTTCCTAGCTTAAGTATATTAGCTTTACTTAAGCGCTTTAATATAGCTAAAAAAATATTATTATTTAACTTAAGAGTTGAAAGAATATTAAATACTTTAGCTTAGCTACCTTGCTTTTAATTAATTAAGCAAAATAATACTTAATTATATATATTTTTAAGAATATAATTTAAAAAAGCCTTTTTTTACTTTTTTTTAATTAAATTAGCTTATTTAAGTAAGTCCTTATATATAAGGAATAAATATATTTTATCCCTCTTAATAAAGCATTATAATATTAATTTTAATTTCTTTTTATAATTAAGATAATGTCCTTTATTATAATATTTTAATTATTAACTTAATTAAGTAAATAGCTTAACTTTAACATTTCTTTAAGTAGTAATAACTTTTTATATAATATTAATTCTTATAAACCTTGCTAAGAAACTTAATTAATTGCTTAGCTAAGAAATATTATTAATCTTAACATTAAATTACTTAATTTAAAATGGGTTATTTTGTTTTATTTTTATAATAATAATATCTTTAATCTTATAAAAATTAAATATTAATAAAGCCCTTAAAGGTTAATAATAATATAATTAAACCCTGCTAGCGCTTTAAAATAATATAAAAAGTAAGAAATACTTAAAAAAAATATATAATAATTAAAATATATATTACTTTACCTTTAATTTGCTTTATAAGGTTATATATTAATATTTAAATAGTTTTAATATTTATATTTATTATTTATTAATTAAAGTATAAAAGTTTTAATATATTGCTTTTTTTAATTATATTATTATAATAAGGAATTTATGCTTTACTTAATAATCCTTAAGGTTATTAAAAACTTACTTTTTAAACTCCTTAAGCTATTTATTAAGCTAATTAAAAAAGAAGTTATTAAATTTATTATTATATTGGTGGGTGCAAGGAATTATGTAAGAAATGGTATTGCGTTGAATTCCGGCTGGCTATAAAAAGCTAGCTTTTACGTTTATTTTAAACATTCTTTTAAGAAATTAACTCTTCTCTTTTTTTATATATTTAATGCTTTAATTAAGCTTTTTTTATTTTTAAGAATTTTTAAAATATTTATCTTTTTTCTTTTTTTAATTCTTTTTTATT